GGGCACCGAATGGTTAAGGGAGACTTATGATACAAAATCATTCAGAGAGTCTTAGAACCATTAAAAGACAGACTTTTTTTTTTTGCCGAACAAGATTCACCTCTTAACAATTCAGAAACTGCCTCTTAATGTAATTATTAAGAGGTAAACAAACAACCCCTAAGTGTTTTTCAATCACCCGGGCCTCATTTTGTTTTAGTTCAAAATGGAACTGAACTTTTTTATTTTATGATTATATTTTTCAGATTAACACAAACCCAAACATGTATTTGGTTCATGATCTGATTTGGAAACAAAAAAGCAAAACCGAACCATTCTTGACCGATTCGTTTTATTTTCCGTTATTTGATTTCGCTATGAATTTGAAATGAATGTACTTCGATTCGTAGCATTTATTACAAACTTCATCATACGCCATTAATTTCTTCACGAAATCCCGAAATCTGAATCAGTTTTGGATAATTAAGTTACGATGTTTGACACGAAATAGAACAGTAGCAGTTTGAAAAATTCTGAATGGCCTGAACGTGATCTTTCTGCAAACTGTTTGAAGTCCCTCCCATAATCATTTGATCAGAAATATACGATTGTCCATAAACATAAACCATGGTATATCATCTTGTACGTTTATCGTTAAAAAGTCGGAATCTAAACTGTAGCCTGTCTAACCCTCTTTGTAATAATGAGAAGCAACATAGTCGAGTGTAAGAGCATCTTTAACAGATTTTTCAAAATCTCATCAAACTGAAGAATTAAAATTCAAAATCTGTAAAAGAAATTACATTTGAAGAATCTGTTTAAACAAAAAACTTATTCAACACATCTATTTTCTCCATTTTGGAGAATCTATTGAAAATGTTTTAAATTTGGGCAAATTTAAAACATCTTTGACATTTTCGAGGACCAATTAGTCGAATTGAACCGGAACCGAACTGAAACCAAACCGAGACCAAACCGTATGTATCTAATCAGTTTGATACTCTGTTCCTACTTTTCTGGTATTTTTCAGTATTCGGTTTTTCGGTATTCAGTACCAACTTTGTCCCGAAAAATACCGAAACCGAACCGAATACGAGGGGGCACTATAACTTTTGAAATTCCAGCCATATCTTCTCCTAAACTATGCATATTATGAACTTTTTGATTGGTTTTGATACAAATTTGAAAGATTTTCAAACATTATGAACTTTTGATTGTTTTTTTTATTAACTTGGATATCCAACCCGCTATGTGAGCCGACTAATCCCAGGGCGACCACCTGTTTTGCAAGTAGACCGGAGTCACCGCATTTGAACCTCCGTAGCCAGAAGGGGAACTTTTTGATTGTTTTTTTTATACAATTTATGAACTTTTTTTATTGGTTTATGATTGATTTTGATACACATTTGAAAGTTCTCATGCGATTGTTAAGTCTCTTAATCCACTTTCAAATTTCGGTCCTAAATGGTCCTAGTACCGAAAGTCCCTGGACCGAAACCGAATCGGTACATACGGTTTCAGTTCTCGATCTTATTTACGTGTCCTACACAAATTCGGTACCATACAGTTCGATACCGGTGCTGGACCCTATTAAATGCTCTAAATAAATAAAATTTTGTTGTCGCAAAAAATTAAACAAAAATAAAAATCAGTCCCAAGGCAACCAACATTCGTTGTTTACTTTCCCCTTTTGGACGGATTTTTCAGGAAAAAAAATATTTAATTATTGGCTAATATATCATCGAAAAATATATTGTGACAAATACGTTACAAGAATCGAATAAAATACGTACGGGGTATATATCCTTAAGATTTGGTGCGTGATTGGTTTGAGCTTGACACCAAACGTCAAAAGTACCAGGAGGTTTCAGGTTCAAATCTAAGGAGGAATAAAAATCCTCTTTTGGCTACAGAGGTTCAAATGTTGTGACTTCGTGCTATCTGCAAAGCAGATAGTCGTCCTGGGATCAGTCGACTCGCATAATGGGTTGGATATCCAGGTTAATGAAAAAAAGATTTTTGGCATGTAATTTAAAGTGAAAATATATTTATTTATTTTATTTTTATAGAATAACATTGTATAAAGTAATATTTGATAAACATAAACTAACTGATAAACTAACTTATTTTTTGAGTTTATTGTAAAAATTCTAACAAGTTTTGAAAGTTTTTTTTTTGTCACTTTTTTCCGATTATACCCTAGACTAATATTAGTTTTTAATAAATAATATTATATATATAGAGGTCTAATTAAATGAAAACTATTTTGTTTGTGATAATCGTGAGATCCAATTCAATTACAAATCAAAGATTAAATTAGAAAATTAATAATTTTGTTAATTTTAACTTAAAATATTAATTAAGGGCATTTTAAGAAATTTCAAAAATATTCTCTATCATCTCTCCTCTCTCCTGTTTCCTCTCTCCGGCGTAATCTTATTCGGCGAACCTTATTCCAATGAATCTAATGTGAACACAAAAATACATCATGTGATACCTACAAACTATATTCACCGTGATATCCAGATATACATACAAGATAACAATGTGATACCCTTTGTAAAACAATGAAAATGCACACTATGATACATTTCATAAAACAAAGAAAATACATTATAATACACGTGAAAGACTGTGAACGTTATTACTATGATATACTTTGATTCACAAGCGTCTTTAGAATACGATTTATATTAGGTAATTGATATACTAGGTAACTTGTTTTAATTAAATATTTCATTCTAAAAAATTTAATTAAATATTTTGATTAATTATCAAAAATAAAATTACTATATTACCCTTTTAGCTTATTTAAGAAATATCGTTAAATATCTCAAACGAGTGGTTCACATTGGATCTCACGGTTACTACAAACTAATCAATTCTTTCCTTAAGGGGCCCCTATATATCTGTGTGTATATACATACATACAATAAATCAAATTAAAATTATATTAATTATTATATATGTGCATTGTTCTATTTGATGGTTTTTATTAATTGATTTTCATAACTTATATTTGTTTCACATGTACTCGATTCATAATATGAAACTCTTTAACATGCTTATAAAACAAAAAGGTTTTATATTGTAAACTGAATATATATTAATTAATACATTAAATACTGTACTTAAATTGATTAAACCTTACATATACATATACATATACATATACATATACATATACATATACATATACATATACATATACATATACATATACACCTTTTATTAGAGATAAGAGCAACTACATTAGAATAGTCAACTAATGTAATCACTATCATCACTTATCCTAATTATTGACACATTCAACATAAATCTTGTCATTTCCTTCATAAATATATTATTTATATAAATCAATACAATATTTTAATATATACCAAAAATGCATGATATAAAACAAAAATTTAAGAGACACTTGACAAAAATTATATATAACTAGAAGGGTACTCGTACAATGCATCGAGATATATTTCGATTTTAACGTTTCATTTTATTTTTTATCTATATCGATATAATACGATTTTATGTGATTTTGAAAAAAACGATAATATTTTTATTTTTGAATCAAATATCATAAAAAAAATTATTTAAAAGTTTTTGTTTTATGTAATTTCTTTAATTCAATTTTTTTATTATAATCTAATTTAACGTAATGAAAGTAATTTAATTTATGTTTAGTTATATAATTCTTTATAAAGATAATAATTAAGTATACTGTTAAAACTTCATGATTATTCTAATTATATTTTAGATTTTTTATATTTAAAATGAGATGTTTATTCTGTATTTGATTATGTTTATCTGCAATTAGTTACACAAATTCAAATATGAAGTTTTAATAAGTTGTACTTACGTACAATTTATTTATAATATTGAATTTTAAGCAATATGCGTCAATAAACAGTACTTTATGCATGAAAAATGGTTTTTAAGAATTTTTTTTTGTCAAATACTCTATAATATAGTATAGATAATCATTGATAATCTACAAAATATGAATACAAAGGGTTTATATATGTATAAACAAGAGGGAAAATTATAATAATAAAATATATTTTATTTTATTAGGTTTAAAAAATAGGTTTAATTAAAGTGAGATAACAAATAAATGTTTTATTTTAAATTTATTGATTCTCTTTTTTGTCTAGTTTTATTTATTAATATAAATATAGTTTTAATTAATAATTGTTATGATTTCAGATGTTTCAGTTATATAATAATCGAATTTGAAAATTTGGACGTGATAAGAAAGACACTGCATCAAGTTGTTTACAAACGCCCACTTGATTCCCTTTCTCATCAATCGTATAAAATGAAATGAAAACGTTGTCAAATATGGCATAAAGAGTCATGCGGAAATGACTACAAGGTGACATGGCATATCAGATGAAAGATATACATGTGTATATATATATATATACATACATACATATGTGTGTGTGTGTGAATAATTGAAAAACATGAGTTCACATAACTGTATTAACTGAAAAATATACTGCGAGATACTTAAGGCGTTAGCTACAACATTACACGAGTCGATACGCACAGACAAGTGAGGAATGTTTTTTTTTATTAACTTGGATATCCAACCCGTTATGCGAGCCGACTAATCCCAATGTGACCACCTGCTTTGCAGATTGCCCGGAGCCACCGCATTTGAACCTCCGTGGCCACAAGGGGATTTTTTTTTTCTCCTTGGATTTGAACATGAGACCTCCTGGTACTTTTGACCTTTGGAGTCAAGCTCAAACCAATTAGGCAGTAGGCACCACCCTTATGGTTCAAGTGAGGAATGTTGGGGTGAACCAGAAAAGTTTGGGTAGAGACAGTGCCCAGACCGTCACGCCTTTCGTACGGGTCAGAACTTAGCCGACAAGGAAACTTCAGTGGATTGAATTATGATACAAAGAAGAAAACCAACTATCATTAAGAATTTCATCTTTGTTGCTCAACAGATAAAAGTTACTGTAGGGATAACAGGCTACGTGTGAATCTATCTTAACTTGGAAATAATGATGGAGGATAAATCGAATAACAGATGCACTTTGTAAAAAGAACGTAAACCCATAAAAAGTCTGTCTAGTTTATATGTACAAATTAATACAACATGTCCGTTCTGTAATAAACTTCTTGAAAAAAATAAAAAAAGCAGAAAAAGGGTAAAAACAGTTCGAGTTTATTTTTCATACACACTTGACTTATGTTCATACGTGAATATTTCATGAATCAACGCTTTGTCGAGTTTTTTAATCCATTGTACGTGAAAATGTGACGTAAAATCACTTTTTGTGTATTTCAAGACCAAAACCTTATTTTTTTTGTGAGAAAAACGGTGAAACTGTCCGAGAAAATACTATATACAGAAACGTTTTTGAAGGACGATTAGCCCGAAAAGAGCATGCAGATCCACGACCAAATTCCTTTGCGCTTTTTCTTTATTTCTTGAGGTCCGACGTTTCTCTTGGCAACCAAATCAGCCATGTATTCGACTACGGCCTGAAAAATAAACGATGTCAACCAAGTGTTTGTGAAAATGCCCAAAAGAAATTGAACCTAAAGATAACCATGATGCACCCATCTTACCTGAGCCCCTAACTTGGTGATTTCCCTCGGAGGAACCTCGAGAGGGGTCTCATCAGCTAGGAATATTTTCAACTTCGACAACATCCCAAAAGATCCAGGTAAAAATCGTATTTGATCACCGCTTATATCGAGCACTTGAAGGTTTTCAAGATTGCCGATTGATCTTGGCAAAGCTGTCATGTCAGCAAAGTTCTTACCCACGATTAATGTTTCCAAACTGGTTGCGAAACATAGACTTTCGGGTATCCCTTCGAGTTCATTGAAACTAACATCAAGTTCTCTTAATCTAGTGAGGTTTGCCATTGTTGTAGGCAGCTTTCCTATCCGATTATAGTGCAAAGTAAGAATCTCCAAGCACTCGAGCTTCCCAATTGCTTCGGGAAGCCCTTTTAGTTGATTGAAGTCTAGTTTGAGCGCCACGAGTGAAGAACATGATCCAATTGTGTACGGGAGTTCTTCAAGATCGTTTGTTTCGACAATCAAGATTTGCATAGAGGCTAAGTTCCCTATAAAATCAGGTAAATGGGTGAAATAGTTTGAGCTCAAATCAAGATTCATCAAGTTTACAAGATTCCCGAATGATTCTGGGAGAGACTTCAACCGGTTTGCATGGAGATCAAGGTCGAGTAAGTTGACCAATTGACCGACTGAATCGGGGAGGTCGGTGAGTTGGTTTGAATGGATATCGAGCTTTGTTAGGGCGGTAAGATTGGCAATGGAGGATGGGAGAGCCGTGATTTTGTTGTCGGATAGATTAAGTTCGGTGATGTTCAATAGTTTTCCAAGAGAAGCAGGAAGCAATTCAATGTTCTCCATCAATTTGGATTGAAGATCAAGGACTTTTCCTTCTTGTTTGGCTGTGATTTCAATCAAGGCTGCTACTTTCATCAGGCTTAATCTCTCAGGTTCTTCTACACCTACAAACCAAAAAATCATGCTTCAAGTTTTCACCATTAAGACACAAACAGTTACACACCCCCCCACATATATATATATATATATATATATATGTATATATACACACATATATATATATGTATATATGGTCAGGTTGAAACAAGAAGACGTTCAATCGGCGAACAGTTATAAGATCATCTATCATTACATGTGATATGAACACTTAATCATGTATGATTAAACACATCGTGTTTTGACAGTACATAGCCGGCGACCTTCCCCGTCGTCGTCCCTTTTGGACGTGTTTAATCATATATAATTAAGCGTTAGTATCACACTTAATCATATATGATTTTGAAACTTCTCGTTTTCTCTTTTTAAGTTGATCAAATCAGAAAGAAAGAAACCAAGAAATGATCTTGGGTTTGACTTTTGCTGCTTACCAACTTCAACATCAATTTGTGTTTTGTTTCATGTTTGGAGTGGGAAAAACAATATAATCCCCAAAAGCAGAATCACATAAAGAACAAAACAGATCAAACCTGAGGGAAAATTGATGATTTTTGTCGAAGAACTCTTGACCAAACCCTTGAAGCTTTCAACTTTCTTGATCTTCTGAGAAACCAGCAAACTTTCATCACTGATCACAGTTTTTTTCTCAAAATCAGCAACTGGGTATTTGAAATCATCTTCTTGATCCAACTGGGTATCACTAGAAACACACTTGGAAGCTTTCTGAATCAATTCATCAAAGGTTTGATGAATCTGGTCAAAGTCAACAACTTGCAGAGGTTCTTTCCTCTGTTCTTGTGTCTGAAACAAGACCATGGTTTGTCTGACCTTTTGAAGGATGGAGAAGAGGGGTTGTGGGATGTCTGGTGGGCAGATTTGGGTGGCGATCTCGTCAAGTTTTCGTTTTTCATCGGTGTTGAGGGTTTTGATGACAGAAATGGCTGCTTCGAGGTCTTCAATGGTGGGTCGTGGTGGAAGTGATTTGTATGTTGTCATGATTTCTTGGATGGTTTGTGTGGAGGCATTTGATGGATCTTTTTCTGATATCACAGCCATGCCCATGGGTGTTTTTTGGTGTGTGGAAATGGAAGAGTAATGGTTTGTGATGGTTTGTGATGGTTCTCGGAGAAGCTGATACATACGCGCATATATATATATATATATATATATATATATATATATATATATATATATATATATATATATATATATA